ATATCAAATCAAAATCGACATGCGTGTACGTGCTCATTTGCATATAAAATATCATGGTATATTTTGATTCCACCATTTTATTGTGATACATTTTGAATGAATTGATAGATTGAATGTAAATATGTTTGATATATATCCAAAACAGGGTGAGAACAATTTCATTCTTTGAAATCAATTCAAATTTCAATCTTTTCATTTGATTTGATTTGATATTGTATTGAAGCAAAAACAAATAGAGAAAATTGTTTATTTAAACAAAAGAAAATTTTGTTTTGTTGGAATTTTAATTGAATTCTTTAGTAAATAAAATGAAATTTTATGAACAAAACAACATTTGTGTTGCTTTGTAATTTATATATGGAAATTTTATGCATAAATTGAATCAAAGAGATATATAACCAACGGGTGTTTTTTGAATTTTCAATTTCGTTTTTCAACCGGTGCATATGCATCATATAATGATAAATGTTCAATTCTTGTTTTATTTGCTGCTTCATTGGTCCAAAAAAAACGAAATTTCATGACAAATTGATGCAGAAAAATAAAACGGAAGAACAAAAAAAAAATTTAATAATAAAGTGAGAAATATTCCTGGAAATTCATTTCTTCATATAAAGAAAATTATTCTTTTCCTTTAAGTGAAATTTTTTTTTGGTTTTGTTTTGCCCCTTCATACATCTTTATGTGATTCAAAATAATAAGTGTTCGTGTTTTAGCATAATTTTCAATTATTTTGAACAACATTCATTGAATATTTCCACATATATTGACTTTTTGCAATCAATTTCATTTATAAATCTAAATTTTTTGTTGTTGTTGTTGTTGCTTGAGATTCATTCCGTATAAGCTATATAAATCATTATTATTTATGATGAATGATTCTTATTTGTAATGATTTTTTTTCTTGTTACTAAAAATAGTTGTCACTGTTATTAAAGATTTTTATATTTCATCAATGAAAAATTCGCTGTGATTTCCATCAAACACCCTGTATGCAGTTTCAAATGTATTGACTGCTGCCATCAGTAAATACTAACTACTTGGATTTTTTTCTTTACTTTGTGCCAAAAATGAATAAACAAAACAATTTATGATTATGCATTCTGAAAATCTGTTTATAAAGAATATTCTTCTGTTTATTATACTAATATTCATAAAAACCGGATTCTAATTATTATCAGAATCGATAATTTTTTTATATTTATTTTTCAGTTTTTCTTATCAAAATCATGATAATATCATTTTCATTCAGTTTTTTTTCTGATTCACTCATGTATCTCATGTCATAAACATTTTATCAGTACCAAAAAAAAGTGAGAAGAAAATTATGACCATTTTGATGAAGATGGATCGATCGATGTGTGTTTACATATAGGGAAAATGATTTTAAGTAAAAATGTTTTTATAGACTTTGGATACACATTATTTAAACATTATATATGTTTTTTTAAAGTGGCATTATCTTGCTGTTTCATCCATTGAATTTTGTCATATAAATAGTTAGATGTAGATATAAAAATAGAAACTTTTTTCTGTTTTCTGATTTCTGATTTCAGAAACAAAAACAAAACCAAAAAAAAAATGATAATCACAAATTTATCAAAAGAATAATGAAAAACAACAACAAAAAATGATTACAAATTATTAATATTAATAAAATTCTGATTAATTTATATGGGATTGAAAACTTTTTTTCCGTTTGTATAATGACCGGCAGTTTTTTGTTTTGTTTTGTTTTCATTTTTTGATTTTTGGTACATGATCAACAACAACAACAAAAAACGGATCATGTTTTGTCGATGAACGTGATCACAATTCAATTTGATATATAATAATGGCAGAAAATAACCCAAAAAAAATAATCTCATTTCAAAATGAAAACATACAAGAAAATCGTTACATTCTGAATTCATAATATTCAAAGTTTTGTTTTTTTATTTTCAATTATTCAACACACACAAAAATTGTGATAGAATTCCATAGTAATAATCATTCTATTGGATGGAAAAACAAGGTTTTTTTTTGCCTGATAACAATAACAAACAGAATGTACAAATGACAAAATATTCATAATAATGAAATTCAATTTAGTTTGAATGAATTTTGTTGTTTCTGATATTAGATTGGTACGACAACTGTGTGTATAGCCAAACAAGAAAACAAAAATGTTGAAAGTTTTTTGTTTTGTTTTGCTGAAGTGATTTGTTTTGTTTTCGAGAATCGAGAATAAAAACAAACAAAGCAAACGAAACAAAATTCATATCTGAATTCGTACCAGAATGAATTATGATGATGATGATGAATTTAAACTATGGAGAAAAAATAAAAACAAAAACAAAATAACGTTATTATCAAAAGAAATGAAAAAAAAAAAAATTAACGCTGACGCTGCAAATACACATGAAATAGGTCAACTACACAAATATAATTGTAGATTTTATTTGTATTGGAATTTGTGATCCAAAACAAAATCAAAGCCAAAAAAAAAGAAGAATGAATGAATGCGAATGAATGAAAACAAAAACAAAAATTCTATGGAATTCATATTTTTTTTTTTTTTTTTGATTTGAAAACTTTCCGAACAATTTTATTAGTATACTCAATTAAATTTCATGAAACAAAAAAATTCCCGGCATATATTAATAATAAGAAGAGTTTTAGTTCCACGACAAATTTTCTACACTAAACAAAGCCACATACTTTGATTATTATTTAATTCAGCTTGGTTTGAATTCTTTATTTTTATTTTTTTTATTACAATTGATAATTATTATGATAATGATGGTTTTCTTTTTTTTTGAAGTCTGTTTGAAGTATATGGTTCACATGTGTGTCGTTCGATTATTGTTTTTTCAACAAAGAATTTAATAACATAGATTCATCCAATTCATTAAAATGATAAAAGTTTCTTAATGATTTCTTGATATATATTTTTTGTTTTGTTCATTACTTTTATTGTTTGAACAAAAGAAAATATGAAATATTCTCTTTCAATTCTCATTGTTAATAATAATAAAGATTCAATCATTCTTTGGTCCATTGTCAAATGTCTATTTTATCATCATCATTATCGATAGTTGTCGTTTGAGGAATTTTTTTTTCGCTTGTCATTTACAAATCTAAACGAAGAAAAATTGATGATGAGTGAACAATGGATTGAAGAAAAAAAATATTTGAAATAAATATGTGAAAAGAAAAACTTTTCATTTCTTAGTTCCAATTGTTTGTTTGTGTTCACATATGGCTTTCCTTTTATCTAACTTATTTTTTTCGGTTGAAAAAAAATAACACAAGAAATCGATTAACCAATCGATTTATTATTATCACACTGTTTGATCAAATGATTTATAATTGAAAAAAAACATTTTTTTTTGGATACCTTAATGAATTTCAAAAATTTGATGATGATGATAACAATTTCCAAAGTATTTTTCCACTAATTATCATCATCATTGTTAATGTTTCAGATCAATAAATGTCATAAAAAACTGAAAAAACAGGAAAAATTGTTTCATTTGTAAAATTAACCGATAATGATAGTTGTTAATAATGATAATTATTGTCGATTTTCCAATAATTCTAATGAAAATAGATTAGAACAGTATTAATTGATTGTTTTTTTGCAATATATTTTTCAAAATAATAATGATAAAAATCATTGTTGCCTTTGCTTTGGTTTTACAAAAATGAATAAAATTCATATGAGAACATACATTGAATACATTCATTCATTGGTTGAATATTTGTATTTTTTTTGATACTGTCTTTATTATGTCAATCAATAATATTCTTCATGAGGATTCATTTTTTTACATTCAATAGTATTATTATTATTAACATTCATACAGTTGTTGATTATAATGAAAATAGGAAAAGTAGGAATGCAATATTTTCATATTTCAATTAGTAAATTTTTTTCTTTTTGAATATTTTTCTCCGATAAATAAATGAGAATGAATGTTTGAAAAAAATTAATGATGTGTCATTTTATAAATGACATGTATGTTCATTATTTTGAATGAAAAATGAAAAATTAGTATTTGTTTTTGTTCATGAAAAAAGATTTTTTTCTATATATTTCCTCTGAAACAAAAACAAAAATATATCCTTGATAATCATTTTCATCTGTCTAGGTGTTAATGTTAGTTGGAATCAATTACAAAAACAAAAACAGTGAAATCAAATTGGTTTGAAATTATTTTTTTCCATAGTTAGTTTCCATGAAAAGTAAGTTTAGTAAGAATTTCAATGAAACTAATGATAAATTTTTATCTATGAAGCAACTAGACAAAAATTCCTTTATTTTTTTTTTGTTTTGTGCAGAATCATAATTAATTTTCCTTTTTCTGGATTCGAAGAAATATAATGATGATCGAAACAGAAAAAAAAATCAGCTAAAAGTGAAAGAAACACACTTTTTTTGGTATGATGAAACAAAACACAAAATTGCACCAATGCACAAACAATAACAAATGTCTTTTCATTTATTAAATAAATAAATATATTCTACCTATATATATTGATTTCATATTTTTTTCTTTGATTTATTTTTGGCATAAAGAATTGAACAGTTTTACGTCATATTATTAATAGGCAAATATTTCATTCAGGCCTGATTGAACATCAAACTATTCAAGAATTCATTCAGGCTATTCAAAAAAAAAGATTGAAAGTTGATGCGAAGAAAAGAAAAGAAAAAAGCTAAAAATAAATATTCTGGAATATTTTTTTTTTGTTCCACAGAATATTCATTGCAAGATAAAATCTGATTCTATTATGAATATAAAGTATTTGTTTTTTTTCGTCAAAAAATGTTGGATCAGATTTTGTAAAATTGAAAAAAAAATTTCTTTGAACACTATTTTTAGCCATATTTTTTTCACAGTAAATCGGATAATAAAAAAGTCTGATGATCAGTGAGAAAAAAAATTGAAATGATGAATTTTATTGAATTGAAAATCAAACAAGAAAAAAGATAACGATAGTATTCAAAATTTTGACATTTTTTTTACTGAATGAATATTGTATTCGGGTAATATTATTGAATTCGTTTACCATTGATAATAACATTACGTATCAATGATGATGTATGACCAAATTCAGCAATCAAATGACGCCAATCTGAACAATTTAATAATAAACAGTTACCAAGTTTACCAATTTCTAATGATCCATAATCATTTGATCGATTTAATGCATATGCTGCATTTAATGTTGTTGCAATTAATGATTCATTTAATGTCATTCCTAAATGAATTGTAGCTAAATTCATTGCCATTGGTAATGAATAACATAATGCATTTGGATTGTAATCGGTTGCAATAACAATTGGTACACCATTAGCAATCATTTCACGTACAGGTGGTTTACGTAATTTCAATAGATAACAAGTGGTTGGATTTATAATAGCAGCAATGTTTCGATTAGCCATTACTTCAATACCATCAGTATTAAGATATTCTAAATGTGATATAGAATGTGCACTAATTTTAGCTGCTAAACGACCTGAATCTTGATCACTTAATTCATCACCATGGAATGTAAGATATGATTTTGGATATAATTCTTTAGCTCGTCGAAGAATTTGTTCAGTTTGTTTATGATTATAAACACCAGTTTCACAGAATACATCAAAAAATTCAATTTTTAATTCTGGTTCTTTACGAGATAATTGTTCCATCATTGTGCAAACATGTTCGACACCTTGATCAGCTGTCATTCCGCTAGATAAAATGAAAATGATTATTAATTTGCAAAAAAAGAAAAAAAAAGAAAAAGATTTACCTTGGAATCGAATGTGCACCAAGAAATGTTGGAACCAATTGAATGGGCGACATTGTTGAAGCTTGTTGAATGACACGTAACATTTTTCGTTCACATTCATAATCAAGTCCATATCCTGTTTTACATTCTAATATTGTTGTTCCACAACTTATCATTTGATTGATTCGTTGTAAAAATGATTGTAATAGTTCTGATTCGGTTGCACGTTTTGTTTCACGTACAGTATAATTAATACCACCACCAGATTCATGTATTTGCATATAAGTTTCACCACGTAATTTTCGATCAAATTCATCGATACGATCACCAGCCCAAATTGGATGTGAATGTGAATCAATTAGTCCAGGTATCAATGAACAACCATTACCATCGATTGTATCGATTGTTTGCCAACAATTATCACCATAATTTTGACATAACCAATTATCGATACGATCATGATAATCAATAGCCATTATTCGACCATCATCAGCAAATACAATCGAAACACCAATTTGATTACGACGTTCAATTGATTCAATTATATCTTGTTTTTTACCAGCTAAAAATTGTTGATGATTCGAACAAATTGTTACGATTTGTTCACAATTTACAATAGCTGTTTTAGGTTTTGTTGTCATCATTGAATGTTGTTTTGAATTCGAAACCAATTCAAAATGAAATCAAATTCATCAATAATGATGATCAGCCGAAATTCAATTCATAACAAATGCCTGATGTGAGCATAGAGAGAAAGAAAACAAATATAATGTACGAAAATGATTATCATGTTATCAATGATTTTTAACACAGACGAATAGTGTATATTTTCAAGGACACAAACAACTGTTATCACTGCAATCAAAATAAATAATAATGTTTTGGCCTTCATGTTTTTAGATATTGAAATGAATAGAAAGAATTTTCAAGAAATTCATGACCGGTTTTTCGATGAAAAATTTGATAATTTTATTTTTATTTTTATCTTTTTTTAAAGAAATAGAATCAATATCCATGGATGATAATTTATTTTGACAAAAAATTTCAAAAAAAAATGGATCAACGAAATTCATCATCATCATCATCATCGACAACAGCAACGATGATGACAAATGTTGGAAATGATAATACAATAATGATGAATAATAATAATACACCATATCCAAGTCCAAATGAATTAATACATGCTATATTAAATGGAAATATTTGTAAAGGTTTTCCTGAACCGCCATCAAAATTAGTAAAATTATTTATTAGTTCAACACGTACAGATTTTGAAATTGAACGACAACATTTACATGAAATTGTTTTACCAAAATTAGAACGTTATTGTAATAGTTTATCATTAGATTTATTAGCTATTGATCCACATTGGCAATTACAACCACCACCACCAATTTTAGAATCTTGTTCAATAAAACAACAGAATTCCTGTAATAATGATAATAATGGTGATAAATGCTCAACAATAAATACGACACGACAACAACAACATCAACAACAACCAACAACAGTTACACCGGTGATATATGAACAAAATTCTAATTTAATTGATCCACATGAATTTGATTTACAATTAAAAGAAATTGAAGAATGTTCACAACAATCAATATCAACATTTTTTATGTGTTTAATTGGTCATAAATATAGACCAATTGCATTACCAACAGTGATTGCATCGAATGATTTTCAACAAATATTTACAGCTGCTGCTGAATCTGGTTTAGGTGATGTTAATCTATTACGTTCTTGTTATAAAGAGAATCGTAATCTACAACCAGAACCACATTATGTATTGTTAGAACCACGTCGTGCATCACGACAATATGAAGAAGAATTAGAACATATTGCTAAATTAGTTGAATATGGTTCAAAAGTTGCAGCACGTGAAGGATTATTAAGTAATAATTTTGGTATTGTAATGTCGGCCGTACATCAACAAACATTACATGCATTATATTGTGCACGACAATATCAATTAGGTGGTTTAGTTACATCACCAACAACTATGAACATTACAAATCGTCATCATCATCATCAACATCATTATCTACAGCAGCAACAACAAATTCATCCACTTAAATCTCCACCACCACGATTTCCATCATCATCTTGTACAAATATGGCGAAGAAAAAAATTCTTGGATCAGGTAAACTTGGATCATTATTAACTGGAACATCTACCAATGTAAATATTAATAACGATAATAGTGATCAACAACAACAACAACAACAATCATCAATAGAATCACCTAAAATAATAAAAAAACCATCACCACCATTAACACCAACAAGACATCGTTTATTACATCAGGTATCATTACAACAAGGACCAACACAGAAAAAAATTCAAATGACACATCGACAAACATCAGTATCAACAAATTATGAATTAATGCAACAACCAGTTGATCGAATGTTATGTTTTATACGTCAATTAGAAGGTGTTAATTTTAATAATGCATCTGTAACAAGATTTTTTGATGTTACACCAACAACAATGACAACAACAAACACAACAACAACAACAATGACAACGTCTTCAAGTGATGAATCAAAACAACAACAACAACAACAGTCACTAAATTCATCGCTTCCAATTCCATCAAATAATCAACAACAAACACCGATAAGACAATTATATGCACCTACAGCACAAAATGATATACAACAATTAATTGAAGATGTAATTCTAGGATTGAAAAAAGGAAATGTTCATTATTTTAAGTAAGTTATGATCAATTTTATCATTTGTGTAATAGGTTTTGTTTGAATCTCTTTTGAAACCCTTTAATTTTACATTTTATGGATTATTATTATTATTATTTATTTTAGTATATCATGGAGTCCACCACCAGATAATAGTATACAAACAAGAACATATACATTACCAGCTAATTATATTGAACGTTTTGGTGAAGCAGTATTACGTACACTTAAAACATCTATCGATGAACATTGGCAAGCAATGCAACAATCAATTTTTGGTCCAATTGCACCAGGTTCTTGTTTTGAATATCCCGGTGATATTGTACGTGAAGCACATTCACATTTATCAAATTTTCGTCGTGTAATGCGATCATTAGGAATGGCACAGGCTATTAATCATTCAGATTTAGGACATCTTCTTCATATTCGAGAATTATTGATTGCGGATACACATGGTGGTAGTGGTACAACTTGTGTTGGTTCAGCTAATACAACAAGTTCCACAAATACTGTTACTTCTAGTTCACGTTGTATGGCGACCACAGGTCATCAAAGTTTTCGTCATCAGCCAATTATTGTTACCGGTCGTTCTGGATCAGGTAAATCAACATTATTAGCACAGGTATTCACTTATGCACCAGATTGGTTAGCCGAAAATTCTGATCGTGATCAAGTGATTCGTATTGTTCGTCAATGTGGTCAAAGTCCAAGTTCAAATTTTGCATCCGAATTGCTTCGTAGTCTTTGTATACAAACATCAGTTGCTTATGGTCTTGAATCTCATCTAACACGTAGTGCATCTGCACATGAACTATCCGAATTGGCTATTTGTTTTCAGGAATTGATTAGATTTCGTAATCCTAATGATTGTGATCTATTGATCATATTGGATGATCTTCATCATCTACAATCGGCATTACAATCTAGTGCATTATTAGGTTGGATGCCATGGCATCTTCCATCGAATGTTCATTTTATTTGCTCCGTTGCATTAGAATCTGAATCTGTTCTAAGCATTTTACGATCACGTATATCGGCCGAAAATTTTATTTGTCTTGATAATGATCATCGTATTGATTCATCAAAACATTGTCAATCTATTTATTCAATGGTACAATCAAAATTACGTGATGAAAAACGTACATTGACATCCATTCAATGGGATTTTGTTCGAAAAAAAATAAATAATTCTGATCTGATGAACAATAACAATAATCAACGTACTGAACAACAGCTAGAAGCTTTAGGTGAAATGACACCATTATTTGCCAATATATTAGCCACAGCTGTATTAAGCAATTGGGAATCATTCTATACACCCGAATATTTACCAACAAATGTTAATGAATTAGTTACGACAATTCTTGATGATCTCGAAGATTGTATTCCATATCAATTAGTACGACGTATCTGTGCCTATTTAACTTGTACAAAATATGGTCTAAGAGAAGTAGAACTATTTCAATTAGTACAGGAAACATTAACAGTACAAATATGGCCAGCCATTTATCAACAACAAACAATGAAAATGCGAACAACAATGGCTGCATCATCAACACAAACCACAACAACTGATACATGTGCTTCAAGTGATACTACAACTACACCGGATCCATATGATCAACCACGATCAACATCTTCCACATGGATTATTTTGAAATCAAAAATGCGTCATTTACTTAAAGAATATTTTGTACAAGGACAATTATATTATCAATGGCGTAGTTCAAAAGTAGCTAAAGCTGTACAGGAACGTTATCTAACCGAAATAAGACAGATTAGAGCCATCCATCTAGAATTGGCAACAGCATTCTATAATTCATTCAATGAGGTAAGAATTATTTAATAAAAATTGAGATTCTTTTTGCAATTTTGAGAAAAAATTTTGTAAATACTTTTTTTTTGTTGAAAATTAAAAATTTAAATAGCTTTATTCTTCCGGAAAAGAATCTGAATCAGTTCGTGAAGCTGATGAACTATGGTATCATCTTCTTTATTCTGGAAACAAATCTGAACTTAAAACAAAAGCATTATTAAATATCCGTTTTTTAAACACTATTGTACAAGGTGTTTCGGTTTGTTATTTACGATGTATTCTGGATGCTGTACGATCACAGATACTTGATTGGGATATTGAACAATTATATGCTATGCTTAAACAATCAGTTTATGTTGTTACACAAGAACCTAATCAATTACCTGTAGAGGTATTACTTTGGCTTGTACCATTTGCATCGATGGGTCATTCACAGCAACAATTGTCGTTGACAAATCTGATTAAAACAACACCAGCTAATTTGACAAATTTCGATAGTGTTAATAAACAAAAATCACAGAATAAATCACATACATTGCTTCATCCTACATCATCACTGCCAACATCAGTATCTGCATCATCATCACCTTTATCATCATCATCAACACCATCTAGTCATTTAGCTGAATTTATACGTCAATGTTATCGTACATGTGTGGAATCAACGGATCGACCATTATTATATCCATTGAACATATGGTTAAATTTACCTATACCACCTCAGGTTACAATGATTACAAGTCCATGGCCATCAATCACACGAGCTGTATCAACACCCGATTCACAACATTTAATCGTATGCGAACAATGTTCATTACATTTTTATCATTTACCAACAAAAACTGTGGCACGAAGTCTGGAAGGTCATAAATCAACGATAACTTGTTTACATTTATCCACAAGCGGTAAATGGTTAGCAACTGGATCGGATGATAGTTCCGTACATTTATGGTATATTGATGCTGAACTAATGGAAATCAATGATTGCAGATTACGACATAGATTCATGTAAGTTTGGTGATTCATTTGAATTTGTTTTTTTATAGAAATTTTTCATTTGGAATATGAATTTATTTTGTTTTTCTTCATAAATTCATTTTTTCTCTTTTTCTCTATTTATATTCATTAGTCATCATAGTGCAAGCGTTTTATGTATTACCATTAATCATATGGAAACATTAGTAATCAGTGGATCGGAAAATGGTGCCATTTGTGCCGTAAATCTTCATAATGGTACATTAATCACACGACTTGAACATCATAAATCGATGGTCACCTGTATTGGAATCAATTCCGGGGATGATGTTCTTGTTTCCGGTTCAACTGATCGTACCGTTGTAGTCTGGAGTCTTGATTCATTCTGTATATTGAATGAAATATTATTAATGCGTCCTGTTTTACATATGGATATTTCATTGGATTCAACATTTTTATTATTATCATTAGATGATAATAGTTTACAGATAAGGGCATTAACTACCGGAACAGGTGTTCATACACTACAGCCATCATTAACAAATACGGTAACAGCCGTCGTTAGTTATGTTCGTTTTGCCGAAGATAATTGTCGTTGCGTGGTCGGTTATGCTGATGGTCGTCTTCTTTTATTTGATTTACATTCAGCACGTCAATTGCAAACATTAAATGGTCACAGTGAAATGATATCGTCAATATTACCACAGAAAGATGATCATTTTCTATTCACTAGTGGTGGTAATAAGATAATCATTTGGAATTTCTATCCAGTTCGACGTGTAGATCATACATCATCAGCATTGGCCGCTGAAGGTTTAGATCGATCAATACATGAAACTAATCTAGTTGAATCGATGGCCATTAGTCAGGGTTTATTGTCATCATTAAATGATCCATTCATGGATAATCTATCCGGTAAAGATATTGGCAAAGATTCAAAAGAATCGGGAACTTGCGGTAGTAGTGTTGGTGGCGGTAGTGGGAGTGGCAGAACTTCACGTTCATCATCTGATCGTCGTAAACATAAAACATCCTCATCATCATCTACACATGGATCATTTAGAAAAAAAGTTTCCGTTTCAACTATCGATAATCATCGTGAACCAATTACTTGTGTTTCAGTAGCCAGAGATGGTCAATACATTGTAACCGGTGGTCGTGATTGTTTAGTGAAAATTTGGTTAAGTGCAACGGCTGAAACACATACAACATTGGATGAAAGTTCAGCACCAATAACCTCTGTTGATATTTCACCAAATAGTCAATTTATTGTTGCCGGTGGTGAAGATGGACAAATTCGTGCTTGGTCATTGACATTATCAATGTATTTATCGAAATTTGGTGAACATGCACCAAATGCATTGGCTACGATAAAAATATTATCGGATAATAAACGTACATTATCAGCCGATGTACAGAATGTAATCAGATTATGGCAAGTGGATAATGGTATACTGATTAAAGTAATTCAACATAAATCTATAAACGGATTATTTGTTCATGGTGGAACGTGTTTTTCTATTGGAGGCAAGATTGACAATTGGTAAGTTGAATAATTCTTTAGTAATCTAAGATTTATATAATCTTCATGTAATTAAATTTAAATTTATTAATAATATAATGTCATAAATCTTATTATTCATTATTTTTATCAGTCTTAAATATTGGCAAATATTTGAACCTGAAATAGAAAAAAGTGTATCACATAGTGATACGATTACATGTTTTACTTGTACACATTCGGGTAAAACATTGATAACCGGATCACAGGATATGTCATTAAAAGTTTGGGAAACATCAACCGGAAAATTAACACAGGTACTTGTCGGTCATGAAGAAGCTATATCATGTGTTGCAACGGCTGCATTAGATGAAATGCTTGTTGTTTCTGGTGCACAAGATTGTAATCTAATTGTATGGGATATGAATACTGGAACCGATCTATTTACATTGACTGGTCATAATGCAAATATTTTAGGAGTTATATTAACACCGGATGCATCAAGAGCTTTATCATATTCTGAAGATAATACATTACAATTATGGGATATTCGAGATAATGGTGTTCGATTATCAATGTTGGATGTTCATCATAATATTTCGCATGTATATTCATCATTAACCGTTACTTATCTAGCCGTATGGCTTGGATCAAGTTCACATATTTTGCCCATTATAAAACATCATAATAATTCATCACAACATATTACCGTAGAATTACCGGCCGTTGGAACACCAGTATCATCAGCAGCTGAGGAAAAATCTTCCGCATGGTTACGAGGTTTAATTGGACCATCATCACGATCGAATGCTTCAGTTTTAGCTTCCAGAACCTTAAAACGTGAACAATCATTTGATTCATTTTATTTTGAACATATGTTACATCGTGGTCAAAGTGTGGATGATTTTAGAAAAATTGGTGCTGCAGGTTTAGGTGGTGTTGCTAGTTTAGCATCACCATTCGGATCACGTGAACAATTATGGACAGGACACCAGGATCAAGATTCAAATAGAACAATTGATCGTGTTGGTTCAACAACCAGATCACGAATGATATCAAAACTACGTAATATTGGACCAAAAAATAAAATGTTGAAAAAACAACAAAGTATGTTTGCCTGTTTTCCTGAATTTACTGGAAAAACAGTTACCGCTTCAGGACAAGGATCTGTCCAGGATTCTGGGTATGTTTAAAATTTAAATTTTCCAAAAAAAATTATGAAAATTTTATTCAATTATTTTTAATTATAATTATTTCAAAAAAAAAACAAGTTTATCACAACAGGTTAATGGTGCTATTGGTAAAAAATTAATACCCGGATCTAAGACGAAAATCTTTCCCGTTATCGGTTCGGATCGATCATCCACAACAATAGGAACATCGACAACAACAACAACAACAACAACATCATCACGAACAGCAATAGGATCAAGAACTGGTTCACAGGATAAAAATGATGATGATATGGATTCAATGTTAATGATGAAATCAAATATTGGCCAAAATGATCAATTTATTAATTTGGTAAAAGATTCTTCTATTTGTCGAATAATTTGATAAATTGAATAACAACGTTCAAATTTCAATAAAGCAATAAAAAAACATATCGATAAAAAAAAATGATTGCAAAAAACATCAACAAAACAAGCAATACACAATCATCATCACACTATTACCAACACTTCATATTTATCTCTTTTCCTTTCTTTTTCATTCGGTCATTGATCCAAAAAAAACAAAAACCAATCCAAAAATGCCTTAGATACAAAAATAATAATAATAACTTTGAAAAACCTTGCTTCCAAACTTCTTTAATTTTTTTTTCTTCATCTATCTCTGGTTTCTGTAAATAATTTGTTGTTTACATTTTTTGAATTTTTGATGTGAAAAAAAAACTTTAATTAACTTAATTTCTGGTTTTTATTTGTTTTGTTTTTTTTCATTTCCATTCTCTCACTGTGTTTTATGTGTGCGTGTGCGTACATCATCACCATCCCAACATTTTTTCCAGGTTGGATAAAACTGTCAACAGGAAAAAAAACACCCACTACACCAAAAATGAATCCAAATGACATTTTCCATTTTTAATGAGTTTTTTTGGACTTTTGTTTTTTTCTTTTCGATGTTTATTCGAATTTCCTTTCAATTTTTTTTCCTTGTTATATGGAATTTTGACAACAAAATTTTATTTAAAAATTCATTTTTTTTTTGTTTGTTTGTTGTTTTTTTGGAAAATTTATTATTATTATTATTGATAAAATAAGAATAAAAATATGGAAAAAAAACAAACATCAATTAATCATTTTTTTTACAATGAGAATATTTACTTGAAAATATTATTGTTGTTATTAGGAAAATAATGGTCAATAGAATGAAAATGATCAACAAAATGGCCATACGTTTTTCATTTTTTGTCATTCGTTGGAAAAAATTTTCCGTTTGTAAATGTTGTACGATCACTGGCTGTTGTTGTTGTTGTTGTTCCAATAGATTTGGACCAAATCCTTGAAGATTTTGTCGTGTATTCGATGTTTGAATATAGGAAAGCGTATCGGTTACTTGCATTGACATTGTTTATTGATTGATGTTTTTTTTACCCGCTGCCGCCCGATAAATTAATATCACTATTATGTTAACAAGAAGAAGAAAAAACAAGGCGTTATCGATTGATAAATTGAAAATGAATGAAAATAAAATAACGTTTGACAAATTGAATGATTTGAAGAAAAAAACTTTGTTTTTCTAATGATGATTATGATTTACCTTCATAAATAGTTTCTATGGATTACATTTGTTGTTGTTTATTTCTGATTAAATCATTTAATCAGATTTTTTTTCTCACTGATAATCTTGATGGTTGTTATGGAAATTCGTCGTTGTTGTCATTTCATTTTAATCAGATGATTTTTATTGATGATAATGCTGCTGGTTTTGCTGTTGTTGTCGTTTTTGATCAAATTTCATTAATAAAAACATAATGGTAAACATAATTGTTGCTGTAATGATGCTTAAAAAGGTAAAATCAACCAATACGTATGGAATACGATCAATCCAAAGACCAATAATATATGGTGCAAGAACCTGTGCTACACCACCGGAAAATGTTATTATTGAACCAATCCAATCGGTAACTGTATAGCCACGTTGTTCTAATAATGGAAATAAACTCGGTACTACTGAACTAAAACCGGCACCAAGTAGAATATAACCAATAATTAAACCAATAATTTGTGTATCAGCCATAAAGAATACCAATAGATTACCAATTATAATAATAATAAAATCAATAATTATCATTTTAATTGGTGTTAATTTTAAAGCAACAAATGCACTAACACCACGAAATGCTGTAAATGATATGGCCAATGATGATGATACTAATGCTGCTTGTGGTTGTGTTAGTTTAAGTTTTACTTTTGAACAAAATGATGCCGAAAATTGTAGATAAGTTGCTTCGGAAAATGAATACATTGCTAAAAATAATGCAGCTAATGTAATAACCGAATATCGATAAAGATTTTTTTTACGTTGTTGTTGTTGTTGTAATTGTTGATCTTCAGATTCAACCAACAAGTTCATTGTCGATTCATTTGATTTTATATTCTTTTTTTTTAATTGTTCATATGGTATAAATATATACATGATAAATATGCTTAATGATGATGTAATAGCTAATATGGCTGATATTGCATATGGCCAAACAAGATTATTTGCAACAAAATTATCATCAAAACCATTAAATGGATTATTTAAAAATGGTTCAGCAATTAGTGGTCCAAGTATAGTGCCAAGACCAAAGAAAAAATGTAATGCTTGCATTGTAACATTTGCCCAAATTATTGTACGTGATTTTTCATCATTTCTTCTAACATTATTTTCCATAGAATTTTCATCATCATCATCCACAGCATTAACATGATTCTGTTGTTCTCTTGATGACCATGACCACATTTCATTCATCCAAACATTAACCATAACAACAACAGCAGCTGTAAAAAATCCATTAAAAAATGCATTCACATAGAATTGTTTTAGATTTGTCCAATGTGGTACTAAAAATGTGGTCAATGCTTTTAATATTAAAAATATAACCAACAATATTTGACGATTAAAATATGTATTTAAAAATCCATCTATGTTTTTATAAAATGAAAAATAATTCAAATAAATATCATTAAATTTATTACTGAATGGAAACAAATAAAAATTCAACACTTACTGATCAATGTACCAGCAGTACAACCAATAGCACGCAATGGAAATATAACCGAAACTGTTTGTAAATCTGTACCGAAAACATGACTTAATTGTAATAATGTTGGATTGAATATAGATGCACATAATCCCTATTCATTTTTTTCGTTTGTTTGTTTGTTAATGAATCCAAATGAATGAATGATGATTGCAAATGGGTTGGTTGGTTTTAGCCATTTCATTATGAAGAAAATATATAAAATGAAAAAAAGAAAATGGATTATTTATTATGTTATCTATATTCATTCATTATATGCTCATTATATTATCATGTTTAGGCGTATATGCTTTGGAACGTCAATTATTTAGCTTCAGAATATGGAAATTGATGCGTTTTTCCTGCACTTTATAACATATAATTTTCGTTTTTTTTTCGTTAGGTTGCTAAATTACCATTTTGTATTATATTTTTTGTATATAAATGACATTTTTTTTATTTTGTCATCGAGTCTTTGCACACATCATTTTTTGTTTTTTTAATTTTAAAATTTTAAAATTTTTTTTATTTGTGGATTTAAACAAACAAAAATTCTGTCAAATTTTACCCAACCAAACTATTCATCTATCATTTTTATATGGATTTGAACAACAAAAAAAACAAACAAAGGAAGGGAGAAAAAAAGTCCAAAAAAAATCAAATTTTTAAAATTTTTATTCCTGAAAAAAAAATCACTGGACCTCATGAAATGAATCAAAGAACTTTTAACTCAAAATTTAATGTATGGTATAATATCGACTAACTGACAGCCCAAGATGATGATGATAATCACTAAATTTTTGTTTTTTGTTTTTTTTTATGATGCCACACATTAACATATTCGGTCTATAAAATAAACAAATATAAATTCAAAACAGAAAAATTCCGTTTTTTTTTGCCTGTGATCATCATTATCAAAATGCACAAAAACAAACACTATGCCATTGTGTTTATATATGCATAATATGATGTTACTACTTATCTTGATAAAAAATGGCTGTTTTTTGTTTTTATATTTTAATTTTTTTTTTCAAAATGAAAAATTATCCCTACTTTTTTCATGAATTTTTAAAAAAAGCTGCCATTGCCGCTGCTTATTTGCGCATTACTTATCATCCGAGCCATTTCCTCCAGGGATGTTTATTTTATCTCATTTGTTATTTTGTTTAGATTCGTTTTTTTCATTTGTTTATTTTCAAGGTATTTTGCAAACAAAAAAAAAGAATTCCTCAACAATATTAATGTGTTTCAAACAAAAACTCATTGTTGTTGCACACACAAAATAATAATGTTCTTTTCTATTTGATTACGAATATAATGGTAATATCGATGAATTTTTTTAACACGACTTTTTTTCGATCGATATTAAAAGGATTGAAACTCAATTTACTGGATTTTTTATTTCTTCTTGTCAACATCTTTTCATCTAATTTTATTTATTCATCTTTTGTTATTAACCGCGTGAATGTGAAAATCTTTTTTTTTCAGCTTTACATTCTTTGTTTGTTTGTTGAATTGGATTTTTATTTTTCCAATTGAAAAATTGTTACAATTTTATTTTATTGAATTTTTGTTATTGTTATTGTTGTTATTGTTGAGTTCAATTTTCATTCAAATTGAATCATTATATACACACACTGTTTATAATGAAAATTGAAAATTCCATGGAATAAAAGCTTAATATATAACGAACCTGAGAATGGAAATTTCTTTTCGTGATAGGATTATAACATCCGAAAGAGACAAAATGTAAAATTTTTTGCCTTTTGGCTAGAAAAAAAAGCATTTTGTAATTGATGACAACAAAAATTCAAAAAAAAAAAAAAAACAGAATGGAATTATCAGAAAAAAAATGAAACATAAACAAACAGTGTTTCGTTTTTTGTTTCTGTCTACGAGTACGTATGCAAAATAGCAAAATGGAAGGAAAAAAATTCCAAACATAACCTGAAACCATGAATTTTGGCATAGATAAAACAAACAAAATTCAAATGTTTATTTTTGTTATATCTCGATCAAATAGGATCATTGAAATCTAGATAATATGATGATAGTGATATTGTAAAAATTTAAAAACAAAACAAAACTAGTAGTAGTTTCCGTTATTTTTTACCTTATTTTAATCAATCATTGAATCATTAGTTTTTAAAACTCATTTGTTTTAATAGAAAGTTTTGGTTGAAAAAAAAGAACATAACAAAACAAAACTTACCACAGCAATAAATGAATAATATAATGATATTGTATAGATAATTGACAATGTTTTTCGATCGATTTGTTGTTCAAATAACATCCATGATGATGATGATGATGTTAATGATGATTGATTCGGTAATGATTGTCGCCGTTGTTGTGAAATAATATTCGTGTGGTTATTGTTGGGAAAATCTTGATAATTTTCCTCATCATTATTATCATTTGATTGTATTTGTAATGGCATTTTTGTTTTTAAAAAAATGTGTCGCAATCACTGGAGGAAAAAGGAAAAATTCACATTGGAAAAAAGTGAAAGAGACAAATATATTGTATGCGGTTTGATGGAATTTATTCACATTTGTTTGGATGTTGTTGGCATCATTATCAATATAATTTTCAAATATATTGAACAAATAAAAAAAATGTTTCTCACGTTTCATCAAATTCAAACAAAACAATTTGCAACTTTTTTTCTGATACTTTTACTTTTTTTTTGAAAAGTGTAACGAACCAAAAATTTTCATATATTTTTTGAGAATTTAGTTTTAGTATTTTTGTTTTGTTTTCAAATTTCTTGCTTGTTATTTCATTTATTTTCTGGTTCAATTTATTTCAATCGATTTTTTTTGGATGAATGTTTTTTTTTCAGGAACAAGTTTGATTCAAACTATGTTGTTATTGAAAAGTTTATGAATGATTATCGATGAAATTTTGAAAAAAAAAGTTTTTTTTTCAATTTTCTTTGAGGAAAAAAAACTGAAAATTTGTAGAATTTTGTTCTTTTGGGCTTGATTTCAATCAAAAATCAATATTCAAAATCAATTACATATTTTTTCTGTTATCCATATGGTACGAAAAAAAATTTCATTTTTTTCACCATATTGATAATCAATTTAGAACAAATTGATTAGATTCTTCAATTGTGTGCATTTTTTACTTATTTACTTGAAAACTTATCAATGCTGTCGAAATGTTTGCGCAGATATCTTTCCTGACGCAAAAAAAAAAATATTATCCAAACTTTATTTTGAACTACATAATGAATATCTATTTCGTTGAAAATGAAAGGAACAAAAAGAAAAAAAATCCGGTTTTTCTTCAGCGATAGATTTGTGGAGGGAAAAATCAAGAAAACAAAACGTGATCATTACATGTTGTTGAGCCGATTAATCTACTACCACCACCACCAATCAACGAGTTTTACTTTTTCTCGTTTTCGTCTTATCCTCAAACATCGATGATAATGATCAAAAATTGAACCTATTCCATTAGTTGATTATGAAAAAAATTCAAGTTTTTTCTCGCCTTTCCCCCCTATTCGGATAAAGTTTGATTTAATTTTCTTTCATTATCATCATCATCATCATTATCATTGAATTTCAACCTCCATACTAGAAATTTTTTCAACCAAAAAAAAACTAACAAACATTTTTAAAAATTCAGCCATTCAGACGAGAATAATTTTCGGCATTTGGCGATAATGTTTGATAGTGGAAAAAAAAGATGTTGAATTTTTTTTTCCTTTGAAAAAAATATAATAAAATTTCCTGAAAAGTTTCTGCAAATTCCCTATGGTAAAAAAATTGAGAAGAAAAAAAATCAAACTTTAAATTGAATGTTTTCTTTTTCTTCTACTATAGAGAAAAAAAAAATAAATAAGAAAGATTAATGGCGATTCGTTATTTTCATGTTGTTTCCATAACGGTGAAAATAAAAATATTTGATACTTTCAATGTGTGGATATGGACAATTCAAATTCCAGATCGTAAACACTTGGCCTATTTCTTTTCTTTTCTTTCTATGTGTGTCGTTTTACACATCCAAACAACTTATTATTATTATTGAAAGCCAACATTATTATCATTGGAATAAAATCGATTTTTTTTCTTGGTTACTTCAATATCTTTCATTTTCTTTGGACTATTTTGGAAAGAAGAAGAAAAAGAAAAAAAAATCATCATCGATTTCACTTCAATTCACATATACGATAAGATTCATGAATAAATAGAATGAAAATTTAATAATAAACGTTTGTGTTTGTGTGGGTGGTTGTGGGTGTCAAAAAGAAAAGAAAAATTCTACGAAAACATATACTGAATGATGACTTTCAAAGCTGATATATTTTCTAAAATTTTATCGTCATATAAACTTGAATTTATATAGAATCGATTCTTTCACTTTTTTTTCATTCCATCTAATAACAAAACGTTCACCTTTTTTTCCCCATTTATATAATAAAGTCTCCTATAGGTTTATCGATTATATTATCTTTATTTCTTTTATTTCTTGTTGAATTTGAATATAAACACAACAACAAACTTTTAGTGTCATTTAGCAAAAATTAATGTGAAAAAATAAACGATTCTCTTTATTACTTGAAATATTTTATCATTAACTATTATTACAATAATAAAAATTTTTATTCTATAGAATAAAATTATCTTGAATCATATCCATTTACATATCGAAGTAATCATCATTATTATCATCTAAATCATTCAAATATTCAAATTTATGAACAAAAAAAAGGAAAATTATATTGCTTTGAAACATTTGCAACTATATTTCTTTTTGTTTATTTGTTTGTGCCAAATATTCTGTTTTTTGTTGTAAAAATTTTTTTTCCAACGATTTTATTTAAGTAATAATAGTCATTAATCATCAAAACCTTCAAATTTATCATCAAATAATTTATGAATTCTATTCGATGAATTGTTTGTTGTTGTTAAAAATGATGATGATGATGGTTGATTTTCATCATCAAAATTATTGAAAAAATCATCATCATCGTCCTTTTCTTCGAAACCAATATCATGATCAGAATCCAATAATAATGTTGAATCCAAATATGATGGTTGAACATCCATTAATATTGTTTGATTTTGTTCATTATTATTTTGTTCATTTTTCATTGATTTCATAGAAACCATTTCATGGAAAAGAAATTTTTGAATAGAATCAATATCATTTCGATACCATTGTTCCATAATCTGAACTTTTTCCAATGAAAAATTTAACATTTGTTTTATCGGATCAAATATTTTCGTATGATTAGCTATTATTAGTTGTTCCAATGATTGTAATTCTGTACGTATCGTATAGGTTTCGATCAATTCCTAATCATCCGAATAATAGAAAATTTTTTTTTCAATGAAAAAAAAAGACAAAACAAAAATCTAATTTAGATGTCTTAAGAAATAAAAATAATAAAGGCAAAAAACAAAGACAAAATTTCCGGAATCAGATAATATTAAAAAAATCATGATCATTTATCATTTATGAGAATGATAAATAAAAACAAAACAAAAAACTTTTGTAATTGTTTTTCCAGATGAAAATATATTTTATACCTGAAAAAATTCATAAAGTTGACTCAATGTATGAAATTTCATTGAAATAAAATTGAAAAAATTCTGTTGAGATATGATTTCACGTAATACTTGTTGTCGACCAATACGAGATTGTTTGGCCAATTCAATCAACATCATTCGTGAATCATTGTCATTCACATTCGACTTGAAGGCAAAAGAAATCACTTGGTTAATTTGTTCCAATCGATTGGTCGAACCTAATGCAATTGATAATAAATGTCTTGCTTCAGGCCATTCATCATATCCATTGTACAGCTTATTACATTCGTTGGTGCGTGTGTGTTTATGACAGGAATTTGTGATAATGATATAGATAAAAAAATGAAAATTTTTTAAATTTTAATGAGATTTTATGTTTAAAGAATATGGTGCTGGTAGTATATAAATTATTGGACCAACTAGCATTATCAACATCATTATTTTTATGATTACCTTGAATAATTCTTCAAAATGTAATGAATTTTTTGCTATGGTTATATTATTGTCATTGAATGAATTGAATGAACGAAATACACATTCAAGTAATTCTATTGGTAAATTGGATTCATTATTATTCATATAATTTTGAAATTGATTGTGGGCTTCATGGAAAAAATTTTCATAATGAAATTGTCCCATTGCACATAAAAGCTTTGCACGTAATTGATTTTGTGCAAATTGTTGAATTTTCATTCGATATCCTATTGGTCGATAGTTGGCTGATGAATACCAATTGATTTGTTGATACATTCGTTTCAATAATCGTTGTGCATAAAGTTCAAAATTCGATTGTATCGATTGTCTATCATGATCGGATTCGATATTCGAAATGATTAAATGTAAATCTGTCAACATTGTTATAATAATCGACCAAATATTTGGATTATCTTCATTTTCAAATGATTGTAATAGTTTTAATCCAGTTACGGTTGATGTATAACCTGCACGTATCATAGCAAAAGTATCATCAACCAAATTCAAACGATCTAATGGTGGAAGAAGTTTTTCTTCAATTGAAACAATAAATCGATTTAACATTTCATCGGAATAATGTACACGATAAAAATTACTGAATGATGGATTAAGTTTAATCCATTCACCAGGCCAAATGGCCTGTATACGTAATTCTACTTTTTCATCATTGATTATAGCATGATTTGATGGCATAAATGGATTGAATGATTTAACAATACTAATCGGTATAGGCCATAATGTGGATTTTTTATTCGAAATATTTATTGTTGAATTTCGTAGCTCAAAAAAACGTTCCTGATGAATACGTAATATCCTTGAGTTACCTTGTTGTTGTTCGTCAACATGCAAAACAGGAAAACCAGCCATTTCAGTCCAATTGGAAAATATTTGAACAATTTGTTTTTGAAATTGTCGAAAACGATGATATTTTTGTTTATCTTTCCCATCGATTTCATCGATAACCGTGATAAAACATTCTTGTAAATTTTTCAAGTTTCCGGTTTTCGTCCAATATTTATTGATAAATTTTTGTAACGCCAAACGAAATATATCTCGATCTAGATTCTGTTTCAACATTCGCAATAGGAATGTTGATTTACGATAAATATTTACATCTTGTGGATACATCATCGATACATTGATTGGATGTCGTATACTTTCCTTAATTGATTTTATATTAATACGCGATGAATCCAAACGTAATGCTAAACTCATTTCATCCGCTGTATATTGTTGCCATGAACGCCAATGTGGAAACACATCATCCATTGCTTGTTTTTCCATAAATTGATTGAGACTTTCAAATAGCCAAAATTCTGACCAATCATCAAACGTAACCATATTGCCCAACCATTGATGTGATAGTGAATGAGCAAGCAATGATACGACTGTTTGAAGATCACGCTCACTGGCTATGGTCACATTAGAAATTGACAGATCCTGACGAGTAAAATACATTAAGCCCAATTTTTCCATCGATGTTTTTAATCGATAATTTGATTCTAAAATAACTAAATCTAATTTCTCTAATGGATATAAATGGCCATAATAATATTGAAAATATTCCAAAATATATTCAGTAGATTCAATAGCGAATTGCCATTGATTCGAATCATTTGAATTCATTGTAATCAATTGAATACGTACTTTAGTACGATTTTTTTCACTTGAAATAATTTCAAATCTTTTTGCCATCATTATAGTCATCTGAAATGTAGATATCATCGGTGTTTGATTGAAATGAATTTCATCCAAATAATGTGAATATGATTTTCGACGATCAATTTGCATATTCGATATGGCCATCTGATTTTTTGGTATTATTAAATATAGATCATATTGTGCTTTATAATGTGGTTCATCCCAACATGGAAATAGTTGACGTGCATCAATTGTTCCAAAATCGATCCATGAAATCTGTTGATATTCTGCATATGATGTATGAAGAATTTGTTTACGAATTAAATCGGTTATATTGGCCAAATAATTTATCGTTATATTAGCACTACCACGATGAAGATGTTTAGGAAAATGTAGAACAACAATTTCGTTTGCTGGACAATAATAAATTCTATTTGCATCGACTAAGATTCGAAGAAATTTGCCAAAATTTTTTTAATTCATTATCAATTGATTAATTAAAACTTACTTCGAATTGAACCGGTACTAAATGTAGCTTTTAAAATTTTCAAACCAAAACTATTCATTTCGATTATATTGGTTTTATTATTGATACGTATCTGAATGTTTAAATGACCGAATAATTTTTTCTGATCAAAATCAAAACGTAACCGCATTTGATAACGTTTCGGTGTGACAATTTCATTCAGATAATAATAATATTTCAACATACGATGATGATGATGATGATGATGATAATATAAATTCACAGTTTGATTGAATAATTTTTTTATTATACCACAATGATTCAATGTTTTGATCAATGGTATTGAAATAGCCGTGCTGTTATCATTTTGGAAAATTCTTTGGGAATGTCGTCGTTGTCGTTGTCGTCGTCCATTATTTTTTCTGAATAGATTTTTTCGTATGAATGTAATTCCAAGAATTTGATCATCATCATCATCATGATGTAATATTGAGTTATTATCATTTAATAAAGAATTACAATCATTATTATTACTGCAGCCGTAATGTTGATGATGATGATGAATTTGATTATTGACATCATTACTTTCGTTCAAATCATTTGAAATTGTTGTTGATGTAACAATATTGATTGTCGTCATTTGAAAATATTTTGATCGAAATAAATGTCTAGCCGTTGTATGATGATGACAATCATAGATATTATTTATTGATAATAATAAAATAATAATAATGTTTGTCAACAAACAATGACAATATTGATATTTTGATTTGATCATCATTCTCATAACCGGAATAAATATGAATGTGTAATGTTGTTGTTGTTGTTGTTGTTTTTTCATCCGTCGAGACAATTTCAATCTAATCAAGAATAATATAAATAAATATATTCATTTCAACATTATGAATGCCAAATAAAATTACAAACATCAACAACAACAAAAATACATGAATCTTTTTTTTGAATAGATTATAAAACTATCATCGATTAACAAGAATTTCAACGTGAACAAAGTAAAAAAGAATAACCTTCAATTCAATGTTGTTGTTGGTTTCGTTGCATACTAATCTGACAAGTTTTTTTCCACTTTCTTTTTTTTTTGTTCATTATAAATTATCGATGATTTAATCGATGAATTTTTTTTAGAATTTCCAAAAAAAGGGTTAGATGTATTATGTGTATAAATCATGGGTCAGTGTACTGAGGTGAAAAGGTTTTTTGTTTGTTTGTCGGTGTTTTTATATGCGAATCGAAAAGAAAAATCGTGATTCATTGAGAGGTTCGCTAATGATTGAATATAATTTTTTTTCAAAATATATTAAAAATCGAATCATGAAATCGATTTTCATTCATTGATTTTGTTTGGTTGAATCACACAATTCAATCATTGTGCAATTTCTTTGTACATAATCTAATTTTCGTTTTTTTTTGATGATGTAAGCAAAGTTTTTTCATTTTTCATTGAAACACTAGAAAATTCTGGACAACAACGACGACTAAGTAAGAAAAGTTTGACAAAAAGAATTCGTTTTTTAAATTGATTTTTTTGCCCCGTGTTTTGTCGAATAAATTAACAATTTTTTTTTCACCAATCATCGTTGTTATTATTTGCCGAACCCAAAAAAAAAACAACTAATCAAACTGAAAAGTTTCAATTATCGATAATACAATCATGTTGAATTGTAATGAATTTTATTTCATTTTGATTGTTTGACATTGACAATTCTTTTTGTTATATAACAAACATCTTTGAATCATTTTTATTTTTGGATTGTTTGTCCAAACTTTCATTGAATCATTGAATTTTGGAAAAGTTTTCCAAAAAAGAAAAGTTTATCGTAAATTTATGTTTGGTTTTCTTATGTAACCAGTTTCAACCATAACACATCATGATGATAAAAATCTATCTATTCATAATTTCTTATATTTAATTTTGAAAAGAAAATTTTACAGAAAAGTGATTATATTGGAAAGTTTCCGGAACGGTTGTTGTTGTTAAATATCATTCACTGTTTTTGGGTACATCCTGTTCAACAATGATGTATATTTCTCTAATGATGACAATGAAAACATCTTTTTTTTGTGCAACTGCAAATCGTTATTTTGTTTATTTATTTTTTGTTCAAAATGAAAATTTCACAAACTTTTTCTATTTTGTAGTTGTTGTTGTTGTTTATCTAACATTTTTTTTCCAGTGAATTATGATTATAACAAAGCAAACGTTGTGTCAATCAATAATATTGAATAAATGAAATAAATAGTAGAAAAAGAATGGAATTGGAAAAAGTTTGTCACACACACCCACACACACGCCAGTTGGATGTTGAACAAATTGAAAAAAAAGTATAGCGATAAGAAAAAAAAAGTAAATGTTCATCATCATCATGATCCGTGTTTTATATCATGAATGTTGCGAGTAAAAAAACGAGTGAATCCAATAGTTGAATGGATCCATTCATCATTGATTTTTCTTGCATTTTATACAGTTTTTTTTCATTCTCATTTCATTAATGTAATCTAGTTTTTTTTTGCTGTTGTTCATTATTCATAATGATGTTATCAAGTTTGCTAATTGATTTTCTTTATAATATTATTCCTATCTTCTTCTTCTTCTTTTCTTTTTAATTCTCTCTGAAGACTGAAATTTTATTTTTCCTGTTTGTTATTCGTGCATAATATTTTATATTGATTTTTTTCCCGTTCCTTTTTTTTGTTTTGTTTCGTACATTTTAATTGAATTTTATTTATTCATTCATTTTCCGTTGGTACATTTTTTCCAATGATGCTCAGCATGTTTGGAATTGAAATTTCAATGTTTTTTTTCTATTATTAATTCATCAATATCGATCTATTATTAATTTATTTCTAAGTACAAAATACTTGAATTATCAATGGTCATTATTATTCTTAATTATAATGAAACAAACCAAATCGATTTGGATAGAGAAAAAATACTGACCGAATTAGTTTTTTCTTGAGAATATTTGGGAATTCAACAGAACTCATCAAACGAAAAAAAACCCAATGGAAATTTGCATAAATAAAGATGTGTCATTGATAATTTTCCCAATTTTATAATTTTCATCCTATTTATATTTGACAAATTTTGAAAGGAATTGATCGTTTGCAAGTTTTTTTTCGATTGATGTTTAACATTTGGGTTTTTTTTTTGTTGTACTGATTCAATTCTCATTAAACAGAATTTGATTGGATAAATAATTTTAATTAAAATGGGAGTGTTTAATATTTGTTTTACCAAACAAAAGAAAATTCAATTTCGTTTGAAAATTATTAATTTGAATGATTTTCTTTTTCACCAAGCAAAAAAAATGGTAAGGTAATCATTTTTTTCCGGAATCATCATCATATGTTGGGTTTTTTGTTTCCAGAGAAAATGAAACATTTGACGGAATTAATATTTTAACTGCAAAATTATTATTATTATTATGGTTTTTTTTCTACAAACAACAACGACGACGACGTTGACGTTGGCAGCTAACATCCAATTCCATTAAGAATATTAACAAATTTTTTTTCCTTCTTTTTTTTTCTTCAAACATTCTTGATTCATTTCAACAGAATTTCCAATGTAATAACCTATGTATAAAACAAACATGTATATGAGGTTTTTATATATATAATTTGTAAAATTATAGTTCACCCACATATACACAATCAATTTACCTGCTTTTAGTTGATGATTGTAGTTTTTTTTTCTGGTATACAATGTTGGATTTTTTTTGTACACCAAAGCCAGTTGTTATTTTGGGTGGTTGAGTAAAATGAATTCTTTCTTTTATTTTCAATTTCGATTCTTGAAAAAAAAGACTATAAAAATATCGTCACCGTATTTTTTTATGGATAGCTTAAAGGTTGAAACGTTTCTTTTTGCAACAGAAAAAAACAACCACAAGCATGTGGATATCTAAATGGTTTTCTATATGTGCTTTTTTTCATCCTTATTTGAAAATAGAAATTATTTTATCAAATTCATATAACCAACAATTATGAAATGAGCATTCACTCAAACGAAATTATTTTTAATATTATCATAAGGCAATAAACGTAAATGCCTATGTTTGTGTGTTAAACAAATATCAAAAAAAAGAAAAAGAAGAAAATCGAAGAAAAATGAAGGCAAACATTTATCTAAGCTGGGTTTACTTAAGATGTGCGTGTGTTTAAGTAACCAAGTCAATGTACAGTGGATTTTTTGGTTGGTGTCGATGTGTGGATAGAATTATTCTCATTTTATATTTTTTTTTGGTTCATCAATTTCGACCCAATTTCTGGTTAGTTAGATTTATGATCCAAATAATAATAATAAGCAGTAGCAAATAAAAATAAAAGTAATGTTAATATTTGAATGTAATTATATAGATAGAAAATTTTTTCATTTATTCTTTTTTCACATTTCATTTGAGTGCATCGTTTTTGTTTTTTTTTTGTTTTGTTTTTGGTTCGATAATACAATAAATGAATGGGATCTTAATTGAATAAATTTATCTTTTCTACGTTTGATTAAAGAACAAAAAAAAATCATTAAGATGATTGCAAAAATAACAAAATAATGAAAAATTCTTCGATACACTATTTCAAACGCATACGCAAACACATTATACAAAGAAATGTTTAAACATTTTTTTTTTCTTCTTTGTACCTTTAGAAATCAAACTATTGAATTCATTATACAAATTGATTAACGCAAATATTTTTGGTTGTTGTTGTTATTGAATTGAAATGAAATCATGTTCAATCAACCGTTATTTCAATGACAGGTTGATTTTGTTTTTGACTGTAAAGAACAAGAACAATTGGTAAAAATAGATCCTGGATGAAGAAAAAAAAATTCTGATATTGATTTTGTTCAATAATTGAAAATCATTGATTCATTCTCTTGATTTTGTTTCAAAAATAAAATAACTATAGTATACAAAACATCAATATCTTAATGTTTACATGATGGAAATTGATATTGTCTGAAATTGAATGAAGAAAGAATAATATTTTTTTCTTTTTCCTTTTCGATTAAATATTCTTGACAACATTCTTGGAAAACATTTTCTTTAAACGATAAAATCAAAATATCGTGAATTTCGTCATCCATGAAAAAAAAACCTGAACCAAAAATATTAAATTAAAAAAAGTTTTGCTAACTTCGAAGCAACAACAACAAAAAACTTACCTATATCTACATTATTATCTGATTTTAAGATTTAATAATCGGATTATAATCGTTTTGATTGCGATAAAAAAAGAATGAAAACAAATATATAATTCTTGAATGTT